ACGGCCTGCCCCGCCGGGGAGGCAGGGCGGGCCCCGCTGCAGGCTCTGTCCCCCTCAGGGCCTCTCAATCCGGGCTCCTCCTCAGCCGGGTCCAGGCCGCTTTGCAGCGGAGGGGGTTGAGGTTTAAGTGTAGGGGGATGCTTACGTGCACCCCGCAGCTCCGGTGGGGCCCCGCCGGCAATGGAAGACCCCCAGCTAACTGAGGGGATCTTACCAGCACGTGTAACGGTTGTCAGGATTACACTGCACGCTGCTGCTGAGGGCCTTTCAGTGCTTAAAGGGGGCCCAGAGGAAAGGGGGGGACAAGCTTTTTAGGAGGGCCAGCTGGGACAGGACAAGGGGGGATGGCTTTAAACTAAACCAGGGTAGGTTTAGACTGGATCTGAGGAAGAAATTCTTTCCAATGAGGGTGGTGAAACCCTGTCAGGGGTTGCCCAGAGAGGGGGTGGAGGCCCCATCCCTGGGAACATTCCAGGCCAGGTTGGACGGGGCTATGAGCAACCTGATGTGGTTCAAGGTGTCCCTGCTCCTGCAGGGGGGTTGGGCTGGGTGGCCTCTAGGGGTCCCTTCCAACCCAAAACACTCCGTGATTCTATTACTTACGACAGGATCAGAGCACTTACCCTATGGATCGCTTCACACGCGCACTCCTTTGCTCAACCCATCACCCTCTCCAGTTCCCTGGGTTTTTTCCCCCGTAAGTTTCTGCAGTGATCTCCAGTTACTGCCAAGTGTCACCTTGCACAGAGATGGGAGAATCTACACGGAGAGCCCTTTTCTGTCTTCCAAACTGGCAGTCTCCTGTTCCACGATCCCAAACTTGACCTTGTACCTCTGGACAGCTTCTGTGTGTGCAGCACAGAGGTCCTTGGGGATGGGGTGTCAAATACCAAAACAGGGGTCCCAGGTGGGGCAGGGGCCACCCAGAGTTATGGGGCACGAGGAGAGCCTGGGCACAGGTTGTGAGGGGCCTCAAAGGGTGGCACAGGGGGACGGGGAGGTTTGGGGCACTGTGGGGACAGCACAGAGGGACTCAGAGATATCCTAGGCGGCATAGAGAGGGAAAAGATTGTTCTGGGAGACACAATTCCTCCCGGCAGGACAGGCAGAGCCCTGTGGTGTCCCAGCAGCTCCATGCTGCAGCACGACCTCTCCCAATGTGCCCTGAAGGGTAAAATGGCCAACTGCACCTCCCGGTGGGACCCAGCACGCTCCCCCATCACCGGCAATGGCAGCCAGGGAGCCATGGGGTGCTCCAGGAGCCTTACAGTGGGTAACCCCCTCCTCAGGGCACCCTGTGAAGGCACTTTTTACTGAGTGCCCAGGTACAGGCACACAAGCTAAATAAATAAAAAATTGATTATTAATGCATACACACAGCACCCAGGAGCGAGTCTGTCACCCAGCTCAGTGCCACACACACCCTGTGTCACCTGAGGAGCCATTACTGGATCAAACTAAGGAGCTGCCGGCCTCCTCCCTCCTTTTTCCTTCAGGGATAGGACTCAGCACTGGTATTTGAGAGGAAAAACCCCAATTTCACCAATCTGTACTTCGTCCCGACCTCCAAAACAGAGCCTTGCAGGAAATCTTCACAGCTTTTTTTTTTTTTTCTCCACAAAATAGAGTAATAAACCATAACCCCCGAGTAAGAAACGGTCAGCTACAAACTCAGAACAATAAACCATAAGTGAAGGACTCAGAATCCTCAGTTTTAAGCAAGAAACACCAAAGCACATATGAGCAGGACAACAGCAAAGAGAAGCAGAGCAGCTTCCCTTCCACTGCGCCCACCCACAACACCAAAAGCACTAATACAGCTGCATGAGGGACAACTAATTTAATTTTTTTCCCACCCCAAAGACTAACCAGAAATTGCCTCACAGAACAAAGGCGGAATACTGCAGCTGGGGGAATATTTCTCATCTAAACCAGACCTTTTTTAGCCCATAACCCACATGATGAACATCTGGAGCGCAGGGCCAGCCCGGGGCCCACACCCGGCTCTGCTCTGAGGAAGCTGAGCTCCAGCTCCCCGCAGCTCGCTGCCCCCGCACTCCCCCAGACCCCCCCGGGGCACAGCAGCCCCCAGCCCTTCACAAGCGAAACGCCCCGGGACCTCGCAGCGCCCCAGTGGCAGAGCCCACGGAACCTCTTCTCA